TTCATGCAAACATCGCGTTCCAATTATTGCAAAAACAAACGAAGGTGTCCGAGACGCTCAAGGAGAAGCGGCCGCTGTGGAGCAAGCCGGACAACGAGCTCATGACTACCGAGCTCATCGTCACCGACTTCATGTGAGAACATGGGGCAGAGGTGTTTTTAGCTCACGCTATTGGCAAACGTTTGGCTCGCGTCTCGCCAGTACCGTGCACGGATTCTTTGTGAACGACAGTCCTTGTAAGCCGGGCTTGTTTTTTTTTCGCTCTCGCTGTGTGTGCAGTGTTGATTGGTTCGTTGCTCCTTTTTTCGCCCTCCCTCGCCTCTGACGGAACAGCAAAATAGTCCCAAAAACAGAATTCAGCCTCTCAAACACGGTAGAACAAGACTGTCTCAACCAGTTACGTCCAAACAGAGCTCAATTTGATCAGTCGCGACCAATCCCAACCAATCAACCGCGCCAATTCCATCAATGATCGCAGTGGTGACACGAAGGAGGGGCGCGAAGGGTTCTTGGAGTGGCTGAGAGGAGTGGACTCTCTCCAGCTGGAGGTGTGGGCGGACGAGCGCAAAAACTTCAAGGTCAAAGCCAAGGAGGAGATGGAGTCTGGCGGGCGTCGAACAGCGGCGATCTAGACTGCTTGCACGTCCATCCTTCCTCCCCGAACGGAAAAAAAAAAAAGAAGCTTCTAGGCTGCTTGCTTGCCGCCTTCTTCCTTTGAACGGCAACTAAACAAGTCTAGTTTTGAAGAGGTTGTATGTTGCGAGAAGAAGACTTGTGCGCGCTCGTTCGTTTCGACAGGTCGACGCGCAAACGATTTGCTGTTTTTGTTGTTTTTGTTCTTGCAGCAAGAGTGCTCAACCGATTGAACTGTTGAGCGGAACGGACTGCAGGAGGTTGTTATTGTAGCTGCTGCTGCTGCTGCTGCTGCTGCTGCTGCTGCTGCTGTGACTATTTGCGGGGTGTTTTGAGTTGATTTTTTTTATCGATAACCACCGCTCGCTGATGCTGTTTGAGATTATTTTTTTTTAGGCAAGAGTATAGGCTGAGCGACTGCTGAGGGCGGATGACATCATGGAAGTTGAGTGAAGGTTTATTGGTGTGTCTGTTTCGCGTGGTTTAGATTGCTCTTTGCCGACCTACAGTAGTAGACGCCTCCGAGGCAGCAGACGCGACCGACAGATAGACAGCATAGCTTTTTTGCTGTGTGCGCATATAGCTACGTTGTTGTTGTTGAGCTTCTTTTTTTTTTTTCCAGGATCCTTTACAGAGGTGTGCGGCCGCAGTGGGGCGGGGGGACGGGGTTGTACCACTCGCGATGATGTGCATGCCGTGATATTCCGGACATGCCGTATACCGTACACGTGCCCGTGGTACGCTCCCGGGACGGCGCGGAAAATGCTGAATGTTTCTCCGACCACGCTGCTCGGGCGAAGACGCACGACGACGCACCAAGTGTGGGTTCGGTGGGCGAGCCAAATTTCTCGCGGAGCGGCGGCAAGGTCAGTTGTAGCTACAGCGAGGTTTTCGCATTTTGGTCTTCTCTCTGACTACGGTTCGTGCAACGGCAGGTTTAGCGGTGAACTGTACAAGGCTGAGCGAAACCAATGAGGGGAGTTAGACGGGCGTGTAGTCTAGTGATGGTGATGGGAGTGGGGGGGGGGGCGCAGAATACGTCGGGGGGGGGCTCCGCAGAATACGTCAGTCGTTCACGGTGAAAGAATCGTCTTGGTGCTGGCACGGGGTGGGGCAGCTCCAGCAGATGACGCCCACGCGTCATCTCCGAACCTCAGCATGTACTCGACATGTCGTGATGAATAAATGCAGCGTCGCATCTTGCTCTCGCCTTCCTTTGTAGGAAGGTGCGTGCCGTGCTGTTTGCAGCAGGAACCCCTCTTTCGTAGTTTTCTCCTCTTTTTTCCTGAGGCGCCGTCGGTATGTATTAGTAACACGGCAAACGGGGACCCCGCAATTGATTGTAATGCTCTTCCGATTGAAGTATGTGGTTGGTAGCTCACACATGAGCCACAGCAGCGTGTGTTGCTTCGGGGATGAACCCGAACGTGGTGCAAGCCCGATGCTAATAATGCTGATGCTGTCCATCGTATCACGTGCTTGGTGACCCCCCGCGCGCGTGGAAGGATGCACGGTTATTTACCACGTTAGTGCGGGACGCGACGGGACGGCGCCGTGAAGCGCGGGCCTTTCGGCCCAAAAGTATTCTTTGGCTGCTGCACTTGACAACAGAAGAAAGAAAGTTGACGTCACACCAAAAGTGAACAACAAAAAGCAAGCCAACGCATACATGTTTTGTTGCTGAAGCTCGCGCTGTGTCGCTGTGTCGGTCGTTCCTCCTTGTTGTGCATCTTCTCTCTTGTCATTTTCTCGCGCGCGCACTTGTTGTTCTTTGGGGTCGCGGATTTTTTTTGCGTTTTCTTCGTCGTCCCTCTGTTATAAAACCAGCCCTCCCTCCGTGTGAGTTGTAACACGATATTTCAAGCGCAGAGAAAAAAAAGAGAGAAAGGGTACGCACACCAAAGACGGCCGAAATCGTGACCTGGGGGTGAAAAAATAAACAGCGCAAGTCGATACACAAAATGGCAAGTGTAAGACGAGATTCCCTAGCCACGCCACAACCAACGAGCAGGCACACCGAAACACAGCAGCTGCAGCATTGGAACCGCCCCCCTTTGAAACCTCGATACACGCAACAAATTGACGGTTTTGAAGAGCGTAATCGTACCGGCGCTAGAGTACGCCGGAGAAGTATGGGAAGGAAAAATAAGAAGGTACTGAAAGAACTCGAGGCGGCGCAGGTGCTTGCAGCGAAAATCATCCTAGGATGCTCCAAGCGCACAAGTAGTGCAGCCGTAAGGGCAGAATTGGGGATCCAATCCCTACGGTCGGGGAGAGACGCAAGGAAGCTGGCATGGCAGTATCGCATGTGCGGGATGGGAGAGGAGAGGTTGCCGAGAATAGTATGGGAGGCGAAGTGGGCAAACAAGAAGAGGGGTAGACAACCCACGGAATGGGTCAAGGTTGTAGAGGGCGTATGGAAGGGGTTCGACATCGACGAAGATGAAACGCTGGAAACGGAGGGTCTACAGGGGTTCAAGGAGAAGATATCTGTTGCTTGTGCCGAGAGAGAAGAACAGAATCTAAGGAAAGAAACCAAGGATAAGGAGGGTCTAGAAGTGTGCGGAATGTTGAAAGGATTAGGGTTCAAGGATTATCTACATGGATCAATGGATGCAGGGACAAAGCTTAAGGTCAAATTCAGGACCGGGGACATAGGCCTTCGAGAACGTCGACGAAGACGTAG